ATCATAGTTTCGATAAGATCTGCCGGAGTTGATTGCAAATCAATTAAATTATCTAACAACAGATATTAATCTGGAACCGCCGTTTTCATGAGATATCATATATTTGTATATGTGTTCTTAGTTATTGTTATTGCGGAATCGAAGCTGTTTTAATGTGCGGGCCTGTATTCTTCGAAGTTCTTCGAAGCTACCTGCCCATGTTCTATGCACGGCTTAACGGGCTTCACATTTTACACGGGAGAGATCCCGAAATCACCTAATAAGGTGTTATATATGCGCCATAGAACGCATTCACGATGCAATCAAAGGAAGGATATAGAAAATCGAGAGTCTTGACGGCTGCTTGGTCTAAGGTAGAAATCACCATAAATGCGAGGTCATGAAACATTGCAATATGATATGCCAGATGTTTCAAATCCCTGCGCGCTGTTGGGTTACGAGTTTCTTCTGAGGTCGTGGTATTATGTGTTTTACATGAGATCGGTGGAGGTCGCGTAGCACTCATCGAGTGCTTTTGTTTTCTCTTTATAGGCAGGCAGATATGTTACTACCTAGCGGGACTGCCTGGCCGGACTACCTAGCCAGCTGCGGTCGATTGGATAAGGCTTCGCACCGAAGGCTATGCATGAGAAGGTCGCATGAAGAGCAGAGATTGGAAAAAACAGGCGGCTTGCCCTTCCTACAGGATTCTTACTTCATGATCTGCTGTTAGCTTTGCAAGTGATCTAAAAAGGCTGGGAGACATGACTGTATTATTTCTAGTGTTCGCTTTCGTACAACGCTGTAAGGGGAACGAAATACTCGCAGGAACAGCATACCGGGAAAGCCAATGGGTACTCAGAACAAAACTAAGTGTATCTACCGGTTGGTAGATCTAGGTCAACGCATTACCTGGCAATGGGGAATGACCTGTCAGTCTAACAGACACATATTTCTGACTATCTTAAGGCTACTAAGGCATATTGAACGTTCGATCGTAAATGCTGAAAATGTTGAGGCTGATTACTAGCTTCGGTTTTTTAACAATGTATTTTTTGGCCTGATCGATTTAGTTCATGCGGACGAAGCGAAAATCTTTTACGGACGATTAACAATTAAAAGGGCGGAAACTATTAAAAAGCCCTTAAAGGAAGAAGGGAAATTTATCGGACGTTTATCTTATACATCGATAAAGAATGTTCAGGTTGAACTGTTTTCTCTGTTTTTGTCTGCTGAGCATCCCTCGCGGAACCTTCGCGTCTGTGTCTGCATTTCTCCTTCCTATGCACACATACAGGGGGTGCATGTATGGTACTTTATTTCAATATACTGTGATTTTTATTTGTATAAGTTATTTTTGTACAATCAGCTTTTCAAGGTCAGCGTTATGTAAGCTTCTCGCAATTCTAAGAAGTTACGACAAGTTTAACCGAAGCAATTCATCTCAGTCACTCTTCGTATCTGCATTCAAATATACTAATATTTAATATTATATATAATGTTGTATAATTTTGCTTACAAAATAAATACTGTACCTCTTTGAACTGAGAATTCTTCCTTAAAAAACTGCGATGATTCGGTAAACATGTTAGATTAACTAGGCTATTTTTTCCACGGAAGTTACAAATCGGTATAACCTCGGAGGTTTCAGTCAAACTGCAGCAAATACATATCGACTATACTGAGATGACGTATTAATGCTTTATGAAGTCACTTTCACTCGACCTCTAGAAAGTGAATGAAGATGGCATCGACGAGCTGGTAAAATCCAGGCATACGGGATAGATGAAACATGAAAAATTGATCGTTATAATGCGAACATCCCACCCCTAAAACTTTTACTTTACTCAGATTTTTGACAGGAGCCTTGCCTCGATGACTTCTCCTTAGTGCAACTCCGTTTACAACAACAGCCGAGAAGTCTCTGGTAGAACGGGCGAAGCTCTGAGGAATATGAAATCCAACAGGCGCCCAAAGCGATGAAAAAATGATGTTTCTCATTAGCTACCTTTGCAATGAATAATCCGTCACGGATTATTTCATTCTTCAATGTTGAGCTTCCCAACAGCTCCCGGAAATACCAACCAAAGCTGTTTTTAACGATGCGTAAATTCATGCAGATCATAGCTAAAGAATCAAAGAGATTTATTGTAGAAAATAGGTGATAGAGTCAGCTCGATTAATTAAACATCAAAAAAAGTATTTTAGTAAAGACATGTCCTTATAGCCTTAATCATAGTATCAGTATCTTGAGATGATTTTGTTGAATTTGAAGACAGAGCTGAAGATTATGATTTTATCTGTCTATAACACATATTTTCATCATATTTAAATATAGCCATTAGTAATGAATTTCATGTTACCTAAGTCTTGAGGCTAAACTTTGTTCGGGTGCTCTTAATCTGTATGGTAGTAAATCCTATCAAAAACTTCTTTGCCGCCGCGAAAAATTAACATAGGCTAATGCTGCAAGGACTTAGATACTCTGGTATTGTTTGGGTAAAACTCTCCATGTGGTAAATATGAAGCGAATGGCCTAAAACGTTACCTATCGATCACGAGTTTTTCGTATGATGCGCATTATTCTGTGGCTGCTCGAATCGAAAACCAGTGGTTTTTCTATTTATTTAGGCAATAGGTTTCAGAGATTGATTCTTCGGAAAGCCAATTCTCTACCCTGCACGAGTGCCGCATCGTAATTGATGGGTGGGTTCTTCGAAGTCAGTTAGATTTCGGGGAACTAAATAAAATTTCCTTTTATCAACACTATTGAAATTAACTAATGTGCATGAACAATTCTTATGAAAAAATTGTTTATCTATAATAGCTGTTTTGATGTTTATCTATAATAGCTGTTTTGATGTTTATCTATAATAGCTGTTTTGCTGTTTACTTTCCTGCTTGCGACCACAAGCCCCGCTTGGGTCATAATTTTGCTGAACAAGACCATTCTTTGACTTTTTCGTAAGACAGATCATCGTCAAATTAATTTGTTTGATGGCTGTGGGAGGCAACATGTTTGATTATTGTGTGTGTACGCAAATGTTTAAAGATTCTCAGAGTTTGTTACAAGATTAGCAAGCGCAGGTATATATAACAACGAAATAAGAACCCTTTGATTGCTAAAGGCCGTTGCAAGCCAGGCCTTAAAACAGTGACAACAAGTTATTGGCTAAAGAAATACAGGGATTAATTAGCGCCATTCATTTTGAAGATAACATGGAGCTTTTACTGTTAACCAATCTTCCAATGTTTTGTTACAGGTAATCACTAGATAGTATTTGTTTCTATCTGTCATATTGTACTGAAAATTATAGAACTTGAACTATAGAACAAAAAGGAATGAGATAGATCTAATTTACCTAAATACGGATTACTGTTGACTTAGCATTTGGGTACACAATTTTACTTACGTTACGGTTTAAAGGTCATTAAGATAACTGCTGGGCTATATAGAGCGTTAGTATACTATATGACCATGGTGCCGGTACTGAATTATTTATCGGACTTTGTTTTGTGCTAGAAAAATTATTATTATATCTACCACCCTTCTGATCCCGGTAGAGCTAGTTAAATCTGGTGGGCTGAGATACCAGGCCGTAAAGTCTGCGTGACACTATCGTGCAATAATCTAGTATACAGTATGTCTTAACTAACGCACAGCGTAGGGGCATCGGTGGAACTCCCTACGCTGTACGTTGATTGGCTTCCACCCAAGCGAAATGGATGCTCGCCAGATGTTTTTTTTACGACAGACGTCAGTTAGACTGTTTAGAGCCGTCTCTGCTTTTCTGCCAGAGTAGATCGCTTAGTAACTACAATCTAGAGGAACAGAACGGGACAGGAAAATAGAACTCTATTTATCGCTTTCGCTATTATTTGTAAGTAAGCGACCTATAAATTGCAAGGCACTTATCGATATTGCCTCATCCATGTCTCGTAACTTGAAAAGAGCTTAACATGTCTATATCCACAAGATGATTTGCCAATGCACCCTATGAAAGCGCAAAGCAATTAAATTATGTCAAATTATTGTATGACTAAGTTTGCCTGTGTCGTGCTCTTCTAAACAAAGGAGACGAGCATCTGGATAGATAAAAACCCTATATATCTTCTGTATTACTTCGATATAAATAAATTAATAACATTCTCTTACCTGTTAACTGTGTGTTTCCGTCAGTTTGTCAATGGGGCAACAAAATGCGCGTATGTACCATTTATTTTGCATCAAGGTATCCATGTTGAAATGGAACCTGCAGCTGCAGTTCATCAACTTGAAGAGGGCACATTTGTTTTACGTGTGAAGTACGTAAGCATAACATACTACGGCGACTTACTTACCTGAACATGCAGAGGTATTCGAGAGTGAGGACGATTTCACGCTATTTCAGGCTGACGGCTGACAACAAATTTACTAAAGATACAGATCAAGTGAAGCTTGAGGTCTTAAGCGTTAATCGAGCGATCTCTGTAGGAAACGTAGACCTTTTGAAGAGAAAAGGCCGCAGGGTGTATCGTATGAAGTGCTTCTTGCTGTCACAATCTAGGACAAAGGTCCACTGAACCGCAACAACAGCGTAGGATGGCTAGGAGACACCCAAAACGGATAGTGCTTACACTGTCAATTTTTGGTGTCTTATATATTGGACAGAATTTCTTGCTTTTCACGTTTTCAGACTTGGAATAAGGTATAGGTCGCATTTGTTATTCTAAAGTGCTTATTGTGGGTTCAGATATTAATAATATCTCAACACTCTAAACTGAATAGATAAAGTGGGCTTTACAACAAACACAGCTTTAACACTCCGCCCTGTGCTTATTAAATAGAAATAACGCAGACTCGTCGAAAAGGTAGTTTACTGCTTTGTATTTCAATAAGATCACTTATCCACGAACGAATTCCCACGAAGGGGAAGGCCGCAAATTAACTTTTCCTGTATTAGTAAATTTACTTAGAAGAAGCTTTTTCAACTTTTCAGGCAGCTTCACCTAACACGATGCGCGGAAGTTCTTCAACGCATTTGAGCGATACAGATGTGAGGCTCTACCACACATTGATAATTTATGACCTTATAGATAATTCATGACGGTACTTTGTAGACATATAGACTCACCTAGGAAGCCACTGCGTATAAGATACTTAATGGCATGCAAGAAAAAAGAGTTTAAAGACCAGAAATACTCTAAAGCAATCCTATGCCCACGTCACACATACATACAAAGCTAAAAAAATCTCACCTTACCATTTTAGGTTCATTATGTCATTTCTTCTTTCGGGTCACGGTGCATCCAATTCTATTTCATTCTGTTTGTTCTGTTTTACGAAGCTTAATCGAGAGCTTCAGAAATGGCGACATCAATCTATCTTGCTACAGGGATCTTTATTATTTCCACAGAATTACTATTCTTTTCTCGTTCGCATGTCAACGATGACTATTTTTGCTTCTCTGTTCAATGAGGCCAAACGTGGAGAAGGCCATCACTGACGTTGTACATTGCATCACCTTATTTTTAGTACTTACAACTTGGACAATATCTAGGTCGTTAGGTTGAACGTTGAAAATATGAAAGTTTACAACAAGACTAACCGGGTTCTCACATTTACTTGTACGTATACCTGTAGATACGTATGCATTGTTGTTCTGTCGTCCAAGTAGATACGTATGCATACATATACATCTATATGTATACATAGTTGTTAGATTTCAGATTCTGCTGTTTGGGCATTCTCATTTAAGGTACGTATCTGAATTAGATCGCTTAGACTGTAAAGACACCTAGGGATCTAGCCGGCTTGATATGTCTATAGCGTACATTTTTCTCTCGCTAGTACTTTACTTATCTCGCTTTGACTATGTATTTTCAATTATGCGATTGCTGTAATAGTCGTAGTGTTATTAATCGAGTTCCATACCCTGTGTCGGCAACAACGATAAGCGTCGATGACGCACTGCTCTATCGCAAGCGGCTTCTTTCAAATGGGAGTCATCAGCGTCGTGTATTTGAGGCGTTCTGTTCCAATAAACAGAGAGATATCGCAACAAAATGGTGTTATTGTTTTTTGTTGCCGCTGAGGCTACTCGTTAGCATCGGTTGTACCAGTGTCTATGATGAGGTTTAGAGCAAAAAGTACTGCTCATTAGTAGCTTGTTTTACACGACTCCAAATAAGAAAGCGGCGTCATTCTTGCTACGTCGGGATTGCGTATCTCGATCCCGAACAACAACGACAGTGTTAACAACGAACTTCCGCCTCGAGACGAAAGGTCACCTACGCCAGACATGTGTTTTCGCTGCTTTCTAAATGCGTAATCAATTACTCTGCGTTTTATAGTATGTCGAGGATAACACAGTCTTTGTCTAGAGGCACCGTTACATTACATCTGAAAGTTCCTCCATCTAGGTTATAGTTAGTTCGTTACTATTTCCTATAATATCGACTTGATATCTTGATTATACGCCTTAACACTAATGCCAGCTAGCATGAACCTTACATATCCTTCTATTAAAAATTTTCTTCATCTGTGTCCAACTTGTTTTCTACTCTACCGGGTTTATTTTTCGTTTCGCCCATCTTTAACATTTTTTTTTCGATGTACATGAGCCATTTCCGCTCTTCACCTGAGTCTGGCAGGAACACAGAGTTTTACATCTGCCAGATGCGACTATACTCGTCGCAACGCCAATGTTGCCAAAAGCAATTTCTAGTTGTTACGACTTTTTTTTTTCTAGCAAACTAGCCGCCGCGGATAAGGGTGATTACTGTGGCAGCACCGGTGCAGTTGTTACGTGGGACGCGTGATTTAACGCTTGTTGGGCCTGCTGCGGCTGATGAAGTTGCACCTGGGCTTGTTGGTGGTTCGGGCCTTCAGTCGTATCCGACGGGATGATGGCATACGGGGCACTTCCCGCGGTTCCAGTCGAGATCTTTCGTACGCTGCACATCCTTTCGAAGTCGGCTGCCTCTTTGTCGAGGCTTTCAATAAGAGCTTTGGTAGTTTTCCTCTCAGCTTTGATGAGGCGACCGGCCAAACGGCTGTTCTCGCGTCGAAGCTGCTCGATCGTAGTCTCCTGCTTTCCTAACTAAAGTACCACAGCACGAGATAGCCACAAGTTGAATCTAAACGAAATAACACCAAAACTTCTAACCACGAACTGACACTTCTGGACGCTTGCAGATGGTAAGCTGTAGTCCTCGAGACTGGCCAAAACCTGCCAACCTCCAGAAAGTGTTGCCAAGTCAGAGTACGGTTTTGAAAGCTTTGTATTGTCTTTGCATGCCTACTAAGACCACTGGGCCAGTTATATTGTTGTGCACGCGCGTTCCAAAATGGATCTAATCCATTTATTTTAGCTAGGGCCAAGTTAAATTGTGATCTACCTTAAGAAGGATAACCTAAGAAGTTACATTATCGCGCCTTTATGGCGCCCCAACCTTCTCTAGGAGCAATTATGGTAGCCTTTAATACTGGTAATAGGTGAACAATTTCAAATACATCTAATTGTGCCGAGTCCACAGTAAACATTAGGAGCCTTTCCCACGTTGCACTACTCCCTAAGAATCGTTCTCATCCGCTGATGTGTTCTCATCATCGTCATCTGTTTGTTGTATTGCTCTATACTTACGAGTTGTCAAATAAGCCCTTCACTGCCGCTGGTTTTCGAAAAATGATGACCTTCTCTTTCGTTTTGCGGACAGACAAGCCGTAGTAGTGGCCAGCGGGCAGACCAGGAGATTAGTTGTTCTAACCCAAGGACGACGTTGATTCAGAAGTGTTATGAAGGTAAAGGGCGTGGTCAGATTAACAAGTGCCAACCAATACAGATTTGCTCACCGGTGTGGTAGGACAATCTATTTGTTCGGCGGTTACAGCTCAACTAGGTCCAACGATGTTCTGCCAGCAAACGGGAACTGCCATAAATTATAGGACTAGTGGATGCCATCACTGACGAAGAATTTGCTATAAGTTATGAAGCAGCTGTTGCTGATCATGATGCTCAACATGGATCCGTTTTAAATTACCCGCTTCAAAACCTGTTGTGTGCGGTTCCGGCATAGTTAGTGACAATGTGTAACTCTCTGCTTTCTATTTTTCTACAATTCTCTCGATAATTCTAGCTGGGTTAGATGAGAAGATTAATCTTAATTCAAATTAATACTTAGTCAATTGTAGAAAAAATTCATCTGTTGAAGCTTCGTTTGAAACGAAGCTTACGCTAACATGCCCTTGAGCGGTGGATAAGGGTGGGGCAGTTACAACGACAAGCGTTTTGGATGTAAAATAAATTCGTCACGTGCTAGTGTTTAGAATTATACTGAGCATATCGAAATTGAGCTTCGGTTTAATGTAGCTTTTTTTACCGATAGGTGGTCGAAATACGTGTCGTAGCAAGCGGCAAATCTGCTAAATTGCAGAACTATACCGGAAGAAACTCACGTTCATTAAACATTAGCTTACCATTTCATGCAGCCGTATGACCTCTTGCTGAAGTCTGGCCATATATGACATTTGCAGCTGATAAGCCTCTAGACTTTTTTCTCTCCTGAAATGTGACGCATCGTGAATTAATGTCCTAAATGGCTGCTTCCAGATTTGATTCACACTTCCTCAACCTAATCTCAACGTAAAATTAATGATCAATCGATATAAGCCAATCTAGTTCTGGTTAGCTAGCATTTTCTGCACTATTTCGAAAAACGGGCGCATGCACGAAACTTGAGTAGTTTTATGACTGATATACACTCCCAGAGAGCTAACGATGCAGACCTAAAGGAACGAACGCCTTTGAAGGATCTTATTAAACTAAGTCTGAGTTCATCCCAAGGGGCAAGAAATCGATACCATACAAACCAAACGAATTTCTGTCTTCCAAATAAAATTGCTGTCCTTCTTACCTAGAAGCCGGTTCAGTGTCTGTAGCTATTATCCTACACGTAAAACCTATGTACCCTACTTCAATTACGAACTTTACACTTTCAAAATAGAGCAACGTCACGTACCATCGCTGAGCTTCCTCGTGCATGGCCTTGATCGAGTTCTGCTGTTGTACCTGTGCATTTAGGTGACCTGTGGACGATCCAACGGAGATCACTGCAGACTGTTGCAACCCTGCCGTATTGATGTTTCTTACCGTATGGTGTTGATACGGAGAATGACCATTGTCGAACGGTGGTAAATAGCACAGCAAAATATCACCCGTTTTCACGTTAACCTCCTCGTCATGAAATCGTGAATTCAAGATGATATCGCAGCTGAACGCGTTCTTCACGAAGAACGCCACCTGTTTACTGGCAGCCAGACAGGTATGCTGTAAATGAGTTCTCGTGGCTGGATGACTGTTAATCGTATCACCGTTCACATTGGCATTGTTTACGTCAAGGTATTGTACTGCTGGAACATCGCTCGAACGTACGTGCAGGGTGACTGCATCATAAGGACCCACCAGGGATGGGCTTTTGATACGCTGTAACAAGGACAGTAATGATGTGGTATATATTTCTAAGGGTTGATTTTTTAAACAGAGCTATACTGTACATTTCAGACGTATTCTGTGTAAAAAAAAAAACATGCATGTTTAAAAATTATCTAACATTTTAAGCTAAAATTAAGTAAATATTTTTTATAATTGAAAATAGTATTGCCAAACAAAATATGCCCCGTTTTGGCCGGTGGCCATTCCCATGTTTTTCCCATGTTTCGAACTGTAGATTTGTTGTCGCAAAGTTATAACAAGTGATTTTTGCACTCCGTTATTGAGGTTAGATTAACGCTGCAGAGAGCGAAACAGATATCTTGGCGGTGGAAGGATCAGGCTATACGGCAAATGCGTTAAAATCTGCTATTTCTCTTCACTATTGCAGGCATCTTCTGGCCCTCTGGTGAAAGACAGAAGATGTATAAGCAAAATAAAGGATGGCGTCTTTTCTTTGCGCTAGTCCTGCTAGATTTTTTCGACGGCTTGCTGCGTTCTCCTTAATTGTTAGTTGTAGAGATCCGAATCAATTGCTGTGCTATGTGGCGGCGGCGGCAGCAGCAGCGGCAGCTCACTAATGCACGATTTTTTTCTAGTTCTACCAAACACCTAGCATCGTCTTCCTCGGAGTCAGTCTGGGTTTTCCTGCTGATTCTGAAGCATATTTTTTTTGCATCGTTCGCAATGAACCGCATTAGAAATGGCCCAATTTCGTTTTATCTCTGAAAAAATTCGTGTGACACCCAAACATCGAACATCTTTAGTAGTTGTCTTTATTCAATGACGATAAATGTTTAGTTTTTTTGGCATTATCGTGGTCAGCTTTTGTGATTTTTTTCGTCATTGGTCGATAGGTATAAGAAAGGAACGAAAGAGATATCTTTTAGGTTGTTCCTTCTGATAACCCTGTTTTGGCGTAACTTTTTCTGAACCTGGGAAGCATTTGTGTCTTTATTGTGATGAAATTGACAAATGCAGCAAATTTTTGCGGAAGTTTCAGTCGTCTTCAAAATGTTCTATCCTTCGTTTGAATAAAGACACCCCAATAGCTTTACCACAGTTACTTCAATTTTAGCCTTCATATGACGCCAACGCATGACCTGAGACGTGGAACTTAAGAGCCAGCTGATTTCGAAAAATGATTATTACCTTTTCGACAATTTAATGATCAAACGCCAAGACGTACGTCGTTCATTATATTGTGCTACATTAACAGGGAATGTAATCAGCCAGCTTAGTCGTCCTAATGCTTAGCTGAGTGGACGTTTGAGCTTCTAATTTCTTGTCTTTCGGCCTAGTTTTAAATTTGTCGTTGCACGTAAAATTGTTTGTTGCCTGCCTTCCGGGTCGATGATCATACGAATCAGTTGATGTACTTGCGCTTTATAGATTGCAAAAAGCGTCGTTCGGTCGGCATCAGTTGCGACCTACTTACGAGGATACTGGAAACATTATCACTTTCCTATGGTAACGTACCCCGTCTGGTCCTTCGCTTAATTCGAGGAAACAATGATACTTTTAGATCGATAGGACAAATAATGTACATACACACTGTCAGTTCTCTTTTATTTAGTCAACCGATAATGAGGCAGATACCGAACAAGCCACATAAGATAGTAGCTAAGGTTAGATTGCTTCAAAGAAAACGCTCTAGCGTAATGATTCGTGTGTATATATATATATATATATATATATATATATATATATATATATATATACATATGCGGAAACGGGAGAATTAAAAATCCCGAAACAGATTTCCTAAGGGCCTTCTAACTTCGCCTGAAATCCGATCAGTACCTTAAGTATTTCGCTAAAGTTTTGCATGTATAGATAAGGATCACATTTAGTTTAGCTCTATATATTTATCCTGGTTTTGCTTTAAGCAGACTGAATTTAATATGAATTTGTATCAATGTGGAAATTTCTCTGTTAGAACCCAATGCAGTCATGTTCATATATCTAGCTAGAATTTAGTAATGGTTGAAAGGTTGTATTTTATTAACGGTTGAAATGACTAGGACAACACTTGTCATTATGCATATATCAAAATCTTTGTGCATTTTATCATGTAACGCCTAAATAAAACGATATAAAAACGTATCAACGAACGTAAGAGGTATAATTCGGATCATAATCCATCATGAACTTGTTCAGATAAAACGCGATGCAATTTATAAACCGTTATGTTTAGCAGAATTTGAAGAGGGTCGTGGTGTGTATCTTGCCTGCATACGGCTACACTTTTACGTGTTCATTACGTTGAAGTCGATAGGCCACAAGGTTATTTTGCCTTTTCTTTAGCTCTAATTTTCTATGGGGTACGCTTGGCTTACTATGAGCTACCATTAAGCGATACCATGTGCTCTGCTGTACACAATAATGGCTATCCATCGTACAGGTCCTTCTCACCCAGACAGATCTACCTAATGTGCATGCCGTTGTATGCATCTGAATGCCACACAGGCACGACCAGGTCGCCATACCTTAAGCATAAAGCTGCCGATCCCGTAGCGACGGAACTTCCTCTTAACAGCTATGTGCGATAGGACTACGACTTTGGCACCCGAAGGTCTGAAATTATTGGCAAGCAAGGAGCACGGAATATTAGGTAGGCAACAGATTAATAAACACTATAGCTGTTACTGCTGTAAAAACAAATAAAAGGCATTTTCCACTATCTGATTTGATGAAGACTAATCACGTAAGCGTCATCAGAAGAGGTAAGCAGCTGCTCTCGAAGCCATCCCATCGGGGTTCTTTCCCAAGTTGTGTCTATTCGCCGTGCCTTGTGCGGCTTAAAGGGGCATCGCGTTCACCAAGATAAATACGTTGCTTACGCCGAATGTGACTTATCTTTTTCGCCGTAATCCTCACAGAGCCAATAAATTCCAAGTACGTAAGCACTTAATGGCCGCCGTTCGGCTTTTTAATATCCGTATAACGTCTGAGAGTGTTTATGCCTGCTTTAAAACGGGATCTTCCTCACTCAATCACAACGGGCTTGAACCTAGGCTAACATTTTGAAGTTCGCATTTGTTTCGAGCGACTTGAGGGCCTAAACAGTACGTATAGCTGAAAAACATTAGGGCGAGAAGAGAAATAAGTACAGAGTCGTCCTATATGTCCTATGATACACAGTGGCGTCTTTAGGTTTTGTAACCACATGTGACCACATATATGTAACAAAATATTCGTAATAGGTTCGTATTTTGTGTGTTTGTTACACGTTGTTCTGATTTCGAGTATGCGTTCTAGTCAAATGTTTTCCATACTTTCCAATTGTGAACTCCTTAAAGGATACTCACACCAATCACGCTACCGCAGGGCCTTTGAAACAACACTGCGACAAAGATGCGAAGAGTGTCAGCCAGGAAATGCGTAAACCCATTTCTGCAACTAAATACTGAGGCTTCTCGGCAAACGTCACGAAAGACGTTTTGTCGTACCCATCCTCAGCCAGTGGGAACTTCATCAATCGCCTGCATAGCGCAGCAATGCCCCCTGACTATTATTTATACACTGTTTTCATAGGATTTCATGTGTATATATCCGGTATGACAAAAGTGTGCCGTAGACTAGGTAACTGAAAATATACTGGATCTGTTTGGAGCAAATAGCAGGGAAAGTGAAAATATAGTAGCGGGCCATTGACAGTTCCGTGCGTTCTATTGATGTTTGTCAATCTATTGTTTTTACCCTAACTACCTGTAGTCTTTGGAGAAAGTGGCGCACGCCACAAGACGCGACTCGACGCCCACGATTCGCTCTCGCTTGCGCTGCTGGACAGCCTTCACATAAGACTCCAAAGTTCGAGCAAACTGAGGTCCTCCATTGGACTCGCTACCCTCATCGTCCACTTCAGGAATACTGCAAATATAGAAACATTTCACACGACTGTTGTTATAAGAAATAGGTTAATGGTGGCGTTTTTGTGTTTCTGTCACAAAAACTCTGCAGAACTTTTTCCACGAGGAGATAATCTACTTATTGGGGCATTAGATTTAAGGTTGGCCAGTTGTTTTAAACTGTGATGAAGCACAAGTTCGCTACCAAACGTATTTGGGAATCGATCTACTGAAGATGTCGCTTGAACAGCAACTGCTATCTGCATATTTGAATGATTCGCTAAAACTTCCGAGTAACATAGGCCTTTATTTACAGAGTGTATTTTTTACTAGCTTTCAAGTGGTGATTAGTTTTGGATTTCTAACTTCTATCGACCCCAATCATTTGTTGCGCTTTTCGCATGCTTTTATTGCTGATCGAAGGCACCGCCATACGAGAATCAATGGCAGCCTTGTACCGGGAAACAAAATTCATCGACACATTGTCAATACAGCAGTTAGCTGGGGTACTTGGCCACGTATAGGTGGCCGACTCCAGCTTCCAGAATAAGGGAGTAACGCACACATCCCAGCGCGTGTTGCCTCCTTTATTTTAGGATAGAGTCAATTAACAAATACACGTTCTCTCGCTTATTGTCGCCGTGCCGTCTCGCATGATTAATCCTTCAACAAGACTTCTTCGTGTGAGTTCATTGTTGTATATATAGTACTCGACTAAGTGCAGTGTTATGGCAATGTAGATTTAATATCAGTTTTTTAGTGCTAGCAATTATTAGCACATTTTCTCGTTGAAGGCTGAAACACGGTAGGATCTAATGTGGCGAAAAAGAGTGGAACGCGACGTCTGCCGTAGCGACCTGCAGTGTGATGCTTCCACCTCAGCTCTGTCAGTAAGTCTGACAGGGAAACCGATCAAGCGGCTGCTAAGCCTTATGAAAGGAAGGCGAAACAGCTGAAAATCCGGTTTCCTGATCCTGATTTCTCCTTGGAGGCTCCCAAAATAGAAGTTTTCAGGGTCCGAATTCGTTGCTAAGCAATGTAAAAAATCTGAGCGAAATGCTGGATTAATTCAATAGGGGCGTACGTAAAAATAAATCCTTTCCTTAGCAATTAATGCTACTCGGCGTGCAGTAATCGGTTGCGTAGCAACTAAGTTAAATCTTATACTTCGTTTGATGCAGCCTCGCAACCTATCCAGGCCTCGATCTAGTATGTATTCACCTGGCCGCCGTCTCGATCGTAAAGGATGCGCTAGTGGTCTATAGTGGAGGTCGCTCGTTCCGGTTTCGGGATTATACGCGCCGTACTAACTCGGGTGCATACGTGTCCACAGCAAGCGAAATTTCCAGTCTTGTTAAGCAACGACCGAGTGAGGTTTGAGATTTGAAAGCGGCGCGTATGCCGTACTAGGCTCCTTGAAGATAGCTTAGCCCGACTTGTAATAGCGGGTCCCATCTCACGTTGATCGAACAAATAGCTGGCACGTTTGAATTTGCCCTACACGCATACGTACTTACAGACGTCTCTCTCGTCAAAGAAAAAGAGATGACACCAAGTCTACACCCGGACATTACTACAAGACTACGAAAGTTCTGCTCGGCACTTAGTTCGCTGCTGCTTGTGCACACATAGGCAAATACCGTTACTCGAAGAGCAGCAGATACCTTAGAAATAAAGAAACGACTTGGATCCAGCATCGAAAAATACCTAGGTTTAATAGTTTTTTGAGGCTAACACAGCTTCCTACGTTTCTTTTTTGTATACGTTGACCGCCAATAAAGAAAAGGGAATATCTTTTGCTGTCGTATAGAAATATACGGCCCAGCATACGTAAACATATATAAGGAACTCTGACTCTTTTGTTTTCATAATATTTAGGGGTGTTGTATTGACGGTTTGATCATAGTATTGCATTTCGTATATAAAATGAGCGTACGTTCTGCGGGTGCCATACATTTCTATAAGTCTGTGATTACTTGCGATAAAAAACGGATGTTCTTAAATCTCGTCTATTAGATTCCATCGTTTGCAAAGCTACACTACACGTGAATTAGCTTTTATCAAATGAATTAAAGTATATCAAATATATGGAACAGCAACCTTCACTTACTATTTCCGCTACGAATTCAAGTTAATTCGTCGAAGTTCGTACGTACCACTGAAATTTAGATTAGCTACTAACCGGCTTTTTAAATTTAAACTTCCCGGGTGTACTATTGCGATGGTAATCGAAATACAAAACGAAAAACTTTAGTTTTCCTATACGAAGCCTCTGGTGGTGCGATGCTTCCACAATCAACACAGGTAATCAGTCAGGGGTAAACTAAACAAATGCTGTTTCATATACTAATAAACCACCAATCTTTCGAAGTCTAGTCAACAGATAAAACACATCCATGGCAACGTACCTCTCATCATCATCGGAAGAATCGTCGCCGCAGATATCCGAATAGGGATGGTCGGAGCAGATGCTTCCGCACTCGTTCAGGATTTCTTCTTTGTTTCGCCGATTCCTGAAACGAAATTTAAGTAATAGGACAACTTTGCAACATTATTCACGCATTGTATGTATTTGCTGTACCCTCTTATTTATACGGTGTACCGCCAAGATAGGCTTGTTCGTTCGACAATATCCGGCCATCGTGCGTGGGGATAGACTTGTAGCTCCCTTTCGAAGAGATGGCAAACGCAAACTCGCGCATGACTGATTTACGTCTATACGCTGTAAATCAGTAAGTTTGTTTGAATGTGTGTGAAGATTCTGTCCTGGTTGGCCGTGGCGTCTGACGTCCTCTGTATATAGCGTTTGTCATCGGAAATCGAGAAAGCATAAAGTCGTTGGCACTGGTTGAATATGAATGCCCCGCCTTAATAATACAAACATAAATACTGTTTAGCTTCAAGGTGGCAGAGTAAGAAAGGCGCAGAAATTGACCGGTTTTGGGAACAGGGAAGGGAGTCGAAAAAAACAGCGGATATTGGTGTTGTTTTTTTTTTTATTATGTATTGTATTTTTAAGCTATGTTTAGACTATTCCTACTCGTCTACGCAAACGTTTTAGTGAGATTGATGTCTCGGAGAACATTTTCTGGCCTCGGCTTTCCGGGTCTGTACCGGCTCAATGCTAGTAATCTAGCTGGCCAACATATGCCAGCTGGGTTTCTTGAAGAAGCTAGTACACTGCAAAATCTCCAGGTTCTACTATGTATGTATATATATATATATTTGCAAGCTGCTGTTGAAGCTACGGCCTTTGTTATTATTCCAGCGAAGTTTTAATTGGGCACATAGACATATAGACACAGTGTAGAATGCACGAATAGACCGATTAATCAGGTGAAGAACGTTTCCGAAAGGCTTCTTCTGCGAACCCCACTGACACTGAGATTCTGCTCCCTTTGTCTCTACTAGATTCTCAAAATCTGGCTCCAGTTTAAGTAATCTTAAGAAAGCTGTATATAGTATCTGGAAAGGGCACTTCGGTAGTCATTCAGAGCGCGCGAGGTAAGAAAGTTTCTCATCTCCATTGTAACAAGTGCGATATCGTATCGTAAACGAAAGCAGACCCCGCCGCTACACTAGAATCATTAAGCTTTCGCTAGTAGCCTGAATAGAAACACGCAGATACGTGTATGCAGGTCCACAAAAAAAAAAGAGTCGTAGAAAACGGTTTAATGAGAAGGACGACGGAGGGGTAAGAACACTAAGCAAAGAACGTCTCATCTAGCCGGCAGAAACGAGTTTCGCATAAGAAACAAAAAAAAAAGGTTAGGCACAACGCCAGACTCTGCTATGGATATTAACCCAGTTTATTTTTCATATATACAACATGTACACTTATACCGAAGTCCTTATAATGTATCTCTAATAGATTTTTCGTGTATTGGCTGGAACTTTTTTACGATATTCAGTGAATGTAGTTGTTGAGCCACCTATAAAAGTTATATAGATCAATGTAAGGTTTACTTTTTGTAGTAAGCGCTATATATTTTTTCATAGCGTGTATGAAATTTGCTTGGGTTAGAAAAAGATTTTTGTTGATGTTTTCCCGTAACATAGTACGACCATGCTACACCATTGTACTCATAGTTATAAAGGGGGCACCAAATGAATGCGACTCCGAATGCTTGCTCAACCAACCGACGACGACAGAAGGTGTGCGCTCACTATTGAGCTCACTAATTCACTGGGTTCTTTAGCGACTATCAAATATGGGTCGTAGGCATTTTAAATTCGATTTTGGAATAAGCTGGAATCTTCGCTGACAACTGAACGACAACGTTGAGTCCAAATAAAATCTCTATCTTACAGGTCCTAGGCCCATATACTATGATCAAATACATTGAATTCCGAGCAGATCGAGTTGTACGCATTGAGATTAGATACTACTTATAGTTAAAGGATGGCTAGTTGTTTATAAAACTAATAGCTTAGTTCCATAAAGCGTTTAAATAAACTTCGGTCTACTTCGGTCTTCTCGATGGAAACGGCAGAGCGTTCCTATCGATAATCTTTCTAGATAAACTTTAATCTTGAATATTTGCTTGTGATTTGTGTATACCAATTCAAGAAATCAAAATGCTCATGCGCATTTACCACAGAATACGTAATAAAGCCTACTTAACACAATTATCATCAGGACAACCTACATGGTAGTCCACGAAACCCACTGGCGATTATCAATTGGGCTTTGTGTCGTGTCCAAAGGGGCCGTCGATGAGCTGCCACCAACGCTGATTCCATGGTCGCTTTCGGTGCCAGCTTCTTCCTCCGGGGAAGACACGCTCGCTACCCTACTGAGACCGTTACCGTCGCTTCCAGCTGATAGCGATGGCACGACCTTTTGCCAAGGTTTGCCAATGCTACCAACTCGAAGTGATCCCATCATTTGCGAATGCAAATGTGACGTTTCGGGATTGTTGTTGAGCGGCTCTAAGCGTTGCGACGATTTGCTGTTGATAAGGTCTCGTTGAGCCTCTGTTAAGGAAATGAGATCGAAAAAAAGAAAAAACCAAAAATAGATCCATGTGTCATATTTTTGTTTGTAGTGTATAGCATACCTCACAGGCAATATGCCTGGCTGATCCGGTAGCAGGTTAACTATTTAGTCAATAATGAAAGATAACGTACCGTTTAAAGAAAGATACTCATATTTTCATTATCATTCTATTATTTCTACGAAAACTTCATTACATACATTTCATGTCACACAAAGGAGGTATGAAGCGCATAGAAAAAAAAAACATTATGTAGCATATATAACAGACATTTGTTTGAACATATACTTGCTGCAACGCTATAGGCATGTCTGCCCAAGCCATTTCCTAACTTTTTATACATTTTCAAATTAGCAGCTAATGAAAGAACAGGGGTCCTGATAGCAGGACGATAAGGCTCCGTTCGAGCAGCACGAATTAGTAAGGCGAGCAGATTGTCAGCAACACATCTTCCATGAATCAGTCCTTTTTGCTCAAAGGATAATTGACGTTGAGCATAGGGAATAGGCATGGTGGGGGAAGATTGAAATTGATCCATAAAACCACATATCTACATAGGTCTAAACGTTAGTAACACGTTAGCGTATCACTCACGTGGTTAGTTCAGGAACTATTTAAGAGCCAGCCATAGTCGTTGACGTCCTCTAGCGTAGGGAAGATACACTTATAACTGTCATAGTGGCATGTCAGAACAAGTTTAGAAACCTATTTTAATGTACCTGAATGTAAAACATTATCAGAGTAAGCAAGAATGGGAGTTAATGGGAGATGTGAGAAAATCGGTATTTAAACAATAACCATTTCCGTTCAGAACACCTTTTAACAAGGCAGCGGTGTGTACCATGTGGACGTGACCCGCCATGATAGCTCCCAATGTTCAATGGTACTCCCCACATATTCCTAATATCTTCACGTGTACTTCATATACGATATATTTAGACAAATGGATAGTTGTTTAATGAAAAACGACAATAGGAAATTGTTTCGAAACAACCGCTGACGTCTAACCTTTAACTCGGAATACTATTTCGTGTCCTTTACGTTAATAACTCTGCGGTGCGTAAAATTACACTTCCGTAACTTACCCAATATAAATAGATTAATTCATACAGGTAAAATAATTTGGAATTACAGTGGCATTCGGGACAACATCTATTTCTCTATATTTAGAAGTACTCGATAATGATTTCTTCCTCGCTTCATTTACTTATATATTACATATGGAGGTCTACGTTCACGCAATAGTGCGATATTGCTATACTGTTCAAGTAAACGTCTCGAGTCTTAATTTGGTACCGCTGTTAGGCATTCCATTAGAGGGCTGGCTTGCAGCAAAAAACGAAGCGTGCTAACGCCCGAATTTGAGCCCAGATCTCCCTACGTCTTCACCACACGAACGACTCGACTTGGATCCCGTCGACGACGATCTTCGAATATAACAAACTTATATTTGTATCAGGCGATCTTTTGACGTAACCACCTTTATCGCATGCCCTGTGCTCTAGCTGGTACATTTATGCATTTTATTCTATTTAATCAGTAAATTGATCAGAAGTTCGTCGAAGTACACAAAATATATCGTTGTTGTCACACCGCTTATAGGCGGAAATTTTTCCCAAGAAGGGATAGGAAAACAACAAGTTCTGGTGGGGTGCGCTAAGTCAAATAATCGCAACCCACATTAGTAATTATAGCGTTGAGACATACCCTGTACTTCTGCTTCCGGGATAGAGTAGAGGGGATTGCTGGGGACCAGAATCGAGAAGGTCCCCACTTGTAATCTGGTCAGGCCGATGCAAATTAATGTGGCGCCGCACTTGCAAATTCGTTAATAAGAAAAATTATTGTACTTTTTTTTTGATCAACTCGATCAGCTATCTATAGGGAGGACGATTTCAGATATTTAGTGAAAACTCTATATAATGTACATCCGGCAAAAAAACAAAATCTTATCAATGGTGGGTCTTGTAGTAAAGACAGGACGGGTTTGGGGAGCGCTTCTGATTAAAGATGTTGGTGCCCGTGAAAGACGTTTAGAGTCCACTTCAGAGAGGCTAGCGTCCATTAACTTAATCGATTAAACTGCTTTTATTAGAAAGCTTCGCAGGAAGACACAGCAGCGCCTGCGGGATAACTTATTTAACTTTACCTGACCGAAAATTTTGATGAAACGGCTGTTTCTACGTCTTGAGATCCACACGATAATATGTATGTGACAAAAGTAAGTGGTTTCTTATATCGTTTTTTTTATCTAATTTGCCTGATAAATACTCCAATTTTCTAGAAACTTGTCAGTGACCCCCCCCCCCCCTTCCCTTTGAAACTGAGTTTGCTCCACGAGACGTGGGACACATTTTTTAGTCTTGAAAATTAACACAGTTACACAGTTATAACTCAGATACTGAACCACGTCGGATCCGCTTGTAACAGCCTATATATATATATATATATATATATATATATATATATATATATATATTCAGGATAACTCATTATATATTTACGTTATCTGATAATGGTCTAATATAATAATCGAACAAGTGTTCTCATTGAATTAATTTGAAGAAGAGTTTCCACAACAGAATTGAGCATTAGATGTAACTAAAGCAAACGTGCTGTAGGATGTAAGAGTCCATGTTGAATTCATATTGGTTGTACTAAAATAACGTGGTTTATTTTATATTAAAAGCTGTGCAGAACACCAATAGGTAGACATTCAAAAGGCCCAACCGATAAAGGCACCTGTTTTATACGAAATTTCCGTTTTGTACCAAACAGGGTTGTTAGCTTTTGTTTTTTTTTTATTACTTTTAGACGTACAGCGTTAACCAGAAAATTACTAAAGCGGATACCAGAACAGCGCAAACAAAGTGATAAGTGTTCACACATCAACAACGTGCTTTCATAGTGCTCATCAAAAATTTCATTATTTTTTTTTCTTATTTCTGAACTTCCCTAACAATTATCAAGAGTAAACAATTGTATAAAAAAATAATGCGATATTTCTCTGCTTGGCTGGACCAAGTCAGCCTGACTAACCAATAATAAGTAATGTATAATAACGGTTATGGAGACAAGACGAAACACCAAACAGCTCACCTTCGATATCTCGAAGAACAATGAGAGTTCGCGCCCGTTCCTGGCAAAGTTGGTGGAAGATCTGCTGTGGACGCAGGTGCGGAAGAAGGCTATCGTGGAGTAAAGCCACTGTTGAGTGAATTAGGTCTCCATATGTGATAGTCTGAAATGATATGAGGCGCAATAGCGGTAAACGAAATAATCAGGTGAACTTCTATAGCCAGTTGAAGACCGAATGTTATTTCGTCCCTAGCAGACTCTAAGCTTTGCAAAAACACGATCGTACGTTTCTGTCATGTGCGATCTACACGAAACTTGACTTATTATAGTAATATATCTTCTTCCATTTCACGTTAAGTCCGCATGTACCAAAGGGAATTACGTGATCATCTCGCTTGATAAACATACCCCATACTCGTCATAATAAGAAAACAAGCTCATTATACACATATGAATGTATCAGTTTTTCGTGGAAATTATCAGTATCTGATTGTGAATTAAAGCCAACTAAATTTATCAATAGCAAGCCATCAATTTGAAGTAAGGTTTACTCAACTTGCTTAACTTACGTTCAAGTCAGACTCGATTTGAAGCTTTTGCACAGACGTGACTGCAAGGGTATGTCTATACGGTACTGTGGCGCTATTGGTTGACGCTTGATCGATGTCGACAGCGACCGTTTATAAACATGCTAATACAGATGAACTACATTGATTGACACACTCGTCACCTATATAATATGAGTGAAGGCAGGCGGACATGGGTTAAACGGAACAATAATCATTTCGGACGTAATCGTTCAGTTGATATTCGAACGTCGATACGCACTCACACGCAAGCCATCTGTTTCGCCATATACATTGGCTATAAAGGCGGCTCCTCTAGAATCAATCCCCATCCTTCCATGGAATATGGCGTTGTAAACACGTTCAATCTATATATTGTTGGGAATCTATAAATATTGGACGGTGTTTCGATAAATCTTGATGTAACTAGCTCTATGGCGTTTCGGCTATGTTACCATGGAACGATTCTTCATTCTTTGCATAGAATTAACTTCAGCTTCGCTTGTGCTCGATGTGCTCGAACACTTCAGGCAAAACTTCAGAGCTCCACGATAGTTTCTTAAGGTCTTAAACTGTATTTTTTTATAGCTCTGCTGAGCTGAGGAATAAAGTGTTTTATGTTCAGGCCAAGCTTGTGTGTGAACAATGATCATAGTCTAACTGCACTCGTTTTATATATAAGAACACGTTTTAGCATCTGAGTCGTTGTGTCCTGTTGATACCAAGGCAACTCATTTGGCCTTCATTTAGTGCATAAGGCACGAAGCTATAGACAATTCAGCACCAAGAAGGTTATTAAGACGAGCATTTATTTAGTGCACTAACGCCATACTTGTACGGCATTTACAAGGTTCTTCCATTATCTCCTAAATGGCGTGGTTAATAAAGTCTGGGACCCATATTTGACTCGTACAACAACAACACTAAGCCTTTGTCCCACCCCCCTAAGAAGGGAACAGTCTCCAATGGGTTGGTTAGATTTGCCATATAACAGTGTATCAAAGCGTCGTCTACCGAATAAGTTTTCGCTTCTAACAAGAGGTCCATAATGTCAAGTTACATATCTGACATAGGGCCCTGTGTGTCAACTGCGGACACAAGACCCAACTTGGATTTTGTCGCGACTCATTATAAACTAATTTAAAAGATGCAATGCAACTTGGGAAACAATATGGAGAAAGTATGCGATGATCCCAAACCACGCCCAGTGGCAGTGCATGCTTGTCCTGTCTTCTCAATGCTCACGACCCTTCGTTCCTTTATGTATATGCTTGTCGAAATTCTGCAATTTTAACCTTTGTTCACTAATTAATTAAAGTCACTTTCGTTCAGCATAAAATAGAATAATATGCCCCGTACATAGTGCCGGGCACCTTAAAACAAGCTCAAGTATCTGTAAAGCTGCTAATTAGCTATACGATCGACCGAGCTAACACGTAGTAGACACCTTAGACATAACACCCGAACACGAAATAAAAATCGGGGCTAATATTAATTGTTTGCCCTAGCGATTTAAAAATCTAATCACTACCCCATTAAAGTCAATCAATCAACTGAAGATAGCCGAGAGTAACACGTAACCTGTATATACGCACTGAATAACACCTTAAATCGGTTTTGCTTTATTATTCACGATACATACCGACCCGCGCTTGGCGTCACTGAATCACTCCTATGAGCAGCGTTGTAGATATATCTGCAAACCAATGTCACGTTACCTATACAGTTTTTATGAGCGAATGGCCATCGTCCGATTGCCACTTATCGTTGAGTAATTCATTCGTATCGTAAGAGAAAAGGCCATGCAATACAAGGACGCCATCGGCCAAAGTGTTAACAGGCCTCTCTTATCTAACATTTCGACTGCGTCGGAAACAGAACACCGCACTGCCCATGTCTCGTCTGAACAGAAAGGTTCACAGAGGAAAATGTTTACTAGGTCCAAAGCCTGAGAATCGGCTTCGGAAGTTCGGTGACTGCGTTCTTCTCGGACCACTGAAGGTGTTGAGGGTGTTACCTTCAGTGGTCCGAGAGGTCTGTTGTGAGCACCCACTTCACACAGCCACATAATTAGTTCTTAGTCGGCGCTCGATCGATCGGTCGTTCACTCTCTTAATCATTTAAGATTAAGAAAAAAATGAGTAAAACTATCGAGCAAGTATTTATTTACACAAGATATAGCTGTTTGTATAGACGGTATAATTTATCTAGGCACAAATTTGTAATATATACACCAGTAAAGAATTGCAAACAACGACTTCGTTTTATTCAACATTTTAAACTAAACTGTTACCAAATATGTTGTTCCGGTAATGGATTAAGCCCTAACCTAGGTGTAGAATGTTAGCAGGTGCAAATGCAACCGATGATCATACAATATTGCATATGAACTTACATAGAACCTAATGTATACATACTGGATACACGGAGAAATCGCAAAGTATTTCTCAGTGGTCTGACCATAAACGACAAACATAGGCCCACTTAGGAAAAAATGGGAAACAAATTCATTCGAATCTGGCCTGCCGTTTTTCCATAGTCGAGAAGCTGGAAATGGTTTGACCTGTGAGTGTTTCATTATTGAAGAATTACCCATTGACTATATATATATATATATATATATATAGTCAAGCTCAGTCAGCTATGTTAAGTTATTATAGATACACTAATAATGATATTTGGTAATGATGAACATCAATGATTTGAATGTGACATTAACATTAGCACACTTCTCTATATGACAGATAGGAAAAAAAGATAATTCTTTTTGTTCGCATAGTTTATGTAGTACATGTCGTTATCGGGACTTGAAGCAGTGTCCCCCCCGTCTCTTGCCAGAGATTTCTCTCGGCCAAGGACTTGACCGTCCAAGGCATACAAGGCAATCTGTTTAGTTCTGCATGCGATACCTGGGGGCACAACACGAAGTCCGATGCGGCCACTTTCCTCCGCATCACTACGTCTAAGATCCAGACGACAAGCTTTTACACACTAGTTTTACCGTAATGCGTCTTTGCTATGCCTAATAGTAGGCAAAACCGACAACTATCAACGAAGCAAATACTTGACAGTATCGAGGACTGGCTGAAAGCTTAGATTACATGCTGGCAGGCCGCTCCTAAATGGCCACATTGCCCACATTTTCTGGACTGGCTTGCTTAGTGTTTACAGAAGCGAATGGACGGACGTAGTCTGGCTCTGGAAACCCAATTACATGGCCTTATGTCTCCTAAAAGAACACTATCGTTTACTATATACGTAATATATAACAATAGGCTCTGGTCAAAACACATCCGCCTGGAAGTGTAACTACCCATTGAGATAAAAAAGTAGCCAGACATTCTAAACGTACGAATTGCTAGCTATCTACAGACGACAGATGTCGCTTTGGCCCGCGGTAGTCCTTTGCAAATTGACAGCTATTGACGCCCCTTTTTAGTTTATCAATGGCACAGGGTATTCATTACACATCCTCTGATTACAGTTGTTCGTACATATAAAAACTGTAGTCGTTGCCATCGTAGAAAATCTATTAAAGTATACTGTTAATTAGTATTTTCCTATAATTTAGCATATGCCGTAAAACTGTATCAACATATCATAAGAACAATGGAAATTGCTCTATCAATATAGGGTGACGGGCTTGTAAATGTCAACTACGAGAAATTAGCCTCTGGGGAGCAATTTTTTTTTGTGACCTCAAGCCGAGCGATACGCTCTAGAATATGCAGTGATCCACGGTCGGTATTTTCTGTGTACCAACTTTTTAATTGAGTTCAGACAACGTTGACGGATATGTCATTGCTAAAAAGCAATTCTCTTATAGACCGAAATATATTAGGAGGGTGCCATATAGTGCTCAGTGTGGGCGATGAATTTTTCGAAATTATCTAGTTATCCGATGGATAGCAGCTTATCTGTGATTGTTTGGTTTATGGACTTTATAAATCGCAGCCCAGTCATTCCTCTCGTATACGGAGACGTGAGTTGCAAACAAGCGCCTGTTATTTTGCAAATCTAGTGCAATAAATTGTAAAAAAATTATTCAAACACAAATTTAGTTACTTGTGTATATATATATCGACGTTTGTATCAGAATGGTAATACCTGAAAAGCACCAATACGCACGAACGTGAACAATGCAGTACCTACTTTGACCTTTTGGTATAAAAATATTTGCTATACGTATAGCATAGACAATGTGTCATGTCACAAAAAAAATTGTTTGACCTGCGCCGAAAAACCCGAAAATCAGTAAAACCATACCAATTTTCCTAATAATTAATAATAATAATAGAAAAGGCAGCTACTCCTTAACAGGCAGCGCACAAAATGTCTTTACGGGTCGCGCGACCTCAGCGACATAACGGGACAAATCGAACTACGTGCATAACCACATTGTGATCATACTTGTTCAATAGTAAACGAAGCATGCTTTATACGAAAGCCCAATTTATACATATGTATGTTCCTGAAGGAAGATTTTCCGCCCGGCATAGAACCCAGACTAATGTTTTTCGTCGAAGGATACGGGATAGGAATAGGGAACGTTGGTGACGTACTGCACGAATTCGTTTATAGGTTCCAGCGTGACCAT